GGGGGGAGGGGGGTATCATTAGAGATCGTGGTCCAGTGGTTGAAACTTAGCCGATAGTCCTTCTGTGAGGCCTCCAGTCCTTGATTGTCATCCAGCAGCTAGGCCTCCCTTGGACTCTTGCTATCTTCCCCTCCGGTTCCCTCCGAGGCCATCCATGCAGAATTCATTTAGATGGCAAAAAATGTCGGATTTTTTGGAGAATGTCTTAGTTGATTGTACCACTCTTTTCCACTGGGATTCTACCCTTGATTTCTTCTTCTTTTCACTCGACCCCACCTTCTTGTTCTTCCCTCGTTTGCCACTTTAAGAGATATCCGGATGCTATTTTAGGATGATTCCCTGACTTTGTCGACACTAACAATTCCCACAAGGCTGGGGTCACGGACCTGGTGACCCCGGATTCCTTTGTTTTCTTCTTGGCCGGTGCAGATGTTTTGTTTTCTTCTTGGCCGGTGCAGATGACACACAAAATCGACAATCACAAAACTCAGGGACCAGCATCTTCATCTTCTCTATTGGCTTCCCTCTCATCATCATCAATATCATTTGCAGCAACAACATCATCATAAGAAAAAGAGAAGTAGAGGAATGGGCATAAGGACACCAGATCCGAACGCTGGACCCCATTTTTCCAGCATAGACGCAACAGACACGCATTGCATTGTATTGGGACGCTGGACCTGGTTTCCAGCAGGTGCTGCCTCCCCACCAATAGATGGAGCCTTCAAAAGTGGAGGCCACTTATCGGGGATGCTCTTATCACCTCGATAAGTGATCCTCTGGTCTGAAGTTTTCTTGAAAACAACGAAAAAACATAAAAAACACACGAAAATCGACAAATAGTCCGAATATTTTACCTGGTAGAGATTCAAATAGCTCCTGAGATACCGGTCCAACGGTCAATTTTCGACTGGATTCGCCAGGCCTATTGAGATACACATCCACGGCTGTCGCGTCCTGCATGTTCTGCTTGCTCATAGTCAATGGCCCGTCGTACCCCTCTCGGAAGTACTTGATATAGCCTATCTTGGCCAACGGAACTGCTTGCTGACAAATAGTTCAACAAAAACAATACACAACTAAATGACAAAGTGGATCATAGAACTGAGTTGACCAATAAATCTCTCTCTCTCTCTCTCTCTCTCTCTCTCTCTCTCTCTCTCTCTCTCTCTCTCTCTCTCACACACACACACACACACACACACACACACA